ACCGCAGTTCTGAGTTCAGGCAAAATGCCACTGACGTGGAAAAATCATTAGGGAGGGCAGGTATGCTTTAAGCATGCGTTACCCCATTGACTGGGACTACTGAGTCAATACTTTAAACTTATGGTTGCCAGATATTACATGACTAATGGATATAATTTTTATCACTTTACAGTAAATTGAATGCTGCAAGTTTAAGACTCTTAAAGATTTTTTTTGCCTTTATTGTGATAGGACAGTGTAGAGGAGACAGGAAGGGATTGTGAAAGGTCCTCAAACTGGGATTCGAACTCGTCACGTGTGTAACACAACAGCGCTATATGTCAGCACACTGCCCAAAAGGCTATCGGCACCGACCAAGTATAAGACTCTTACTACACTTATGTTAATGGTTAGTGATTTGAACAATAAGTAAAGTTTGGCATGTGACTCATCCCACATGTTCATTATACAAACATAGAAGATACCTCAAATCACTTTTTGGGGAGAGGTGCACATTTCTAAATGATTGGATGGTTAAAGCTTTGTGGATGATAAAATGAGAGAATTTAGAGATTTGTTTTTGTAAAAACAACAATTAACAATAATAATAAAATAATAAATTAGTAATAATTCCAAAGTGGTTATTTGGTACCCCTAGGTCTTAGCATCCTGGTAGGCTCATATTTGCAACATATAAGATATATGCTTAAAAAATGTTTCACTTACAATCAGGTTTAACCTAGTGCTCTTGAAAAATGAAAAATCATGTGGCTACACTAATGCTACTGTTGGTACGAAATCGTCTCTCTGTTTAAGTCAATAGGATGTGACCTACTAATAGCACACAAACGACATTACGTCACAGCTGTCTCTAAGTCTATTTGCAAGCCTTCCTACAATAGCTGGCATAGCCAGCGATGACACAATGTACTGTAGTTCACATGAGGCTAATATGACATCTGTTTGCATTACGACAGTTTTCCCATTCATAAAAAGAACTGGCCCAGATTTCACCTGGAATATCTGAATTTCCACATGATTCATAACCTAGCTGTAATCCAAAACAATTTCAAACACTTTTTTTTACTCTGGTGGCCATGATATACTAATCCCAATATGACAAACAATACATAGCAACATAACTGAATTTAACTAAAGAGCCGAATGGGATTAGTTTCTAAATTTAGTATAAACATTTGTGCCAGCATACTAGATCTTTGTTTCACAACAAGACAACAGGACACATTTGTAAGGATTATGATGTCATATCAGCCTTTTGCATAATTTGCAAACATATAAACTGTACTTTGCATACCAACACTTTCATCCAACATTAGTAAAACAAAGTATAACACCTGATGAAGAAACTCATGATGCCTGGCGAAGAAACAAGGGGGAACTTTTTAACCCTTTTTTTAAAACTCACTAAGCATCTGATACGCTGCATGTTTAAGAATTTTGCGCATCACTATACAGTGTCAAATCGCACTTTAGTGTCTTTATTGCAGTGCTCTCTTTATAACACATTGCTTTTAATAAGCGCTTTCAAACACTGAACCAGGTAAATTACCATAAAATTGCCAGACTTTTCTGGTAAATGTACCACATCTGAATCACATCAACGGCTTCCATCTTTTGATTGTTAAAATTCACACATCAGCATCAAGATGTCAGTAAACTATTATGAAACTGTGATTATTAAAGAGGCAAGATGCTGTACAGTAGTGTCCAAAGATGTCCGCCTAGCGCACATTTACATATGCTGCGTCCCAAATGCCGCATTATACACTATGCACTTATACACTATGTACTCAACCGTGTAGCGTATTAATTATTTAAGGTTATTTTATCATTTATAATCGGAGTCTGATGGCCCTCCACCTTTATGACGTAATTAAAGCTGCGACAGTTGAGTGCATGAAGTGTCCAACGTTCCACACTTCATTTATTTATTTATTTTTGGTTATTTAAGTGCATCATCCAGGAATTTAAAGTGCACTTTTTCTTTTTGTTATTTTCAGTGTGAACACACTACTCGCACTATTTATACTACAAAACGTAATAGAATATTGCATAAGTACGCGATTTGGGACGCACCTATAAAAACAATTAAAAAGCATTTGAGAATTGTAATGAATGCTAGTTGCAGTAAAACACCAACAAATTTTATTCCTTTTCACCAAAACAATGATTATGGGGTAGATTATCAATTAATGAAGACATATTTTCATGTGGTTCCTTGCACAATACTATGTTATGACCTCAAAACATGTTTACCAAGGTGCATGATTTGCAAACGAATACATTTTAGCTTTTGCATTACATAACCAGCTCCATTATGTGACTTTTCTGACACAGTAAACTTGCTCAGTATCACCCAAAATGTCACTTACGCCCTTCTGGTTCTCACCCCTCGATATGCGCACTTTCAGATTTCAGATTCTAAGGTTATACGTCAATTTACCCAACTCACTCGGTTTCTGAACAGAGCAAATCTGTCAAAAAAAAAAAAAACACTGAAATAAGGCTTTTTATGAAATGTTGTGAAAGCTGTGACATTTTCTTTTCAGTTTGTTAAAATTTCACTCGCATGGAGCAGATGTCCATGTGGCCATTTCCTGACCTTTCCACATGTCCCTGGAGTCTATAGAATCATTATTTGTGCTTTTCACATAAAACATGACTCGTATGTGGGTTGCACAAATGTGTTAGATTTTGTGCCAGCTATGACATAACAAATGAAATGTTCTCTCGCTTTAAACGTGCTAAACCCTCTACAGCTGTGCAGCCATATTATGAGGGAGGAAAAACAATTCCATTATCAAGATTCCAGAGTCATGATGGAATACGCTAGAGGGAATGGCAATCAGTTATATAAGCCTACAAATATGTTTTTACCAGCCTGTTTCTACAATAGTAAAATCAGTGGTGTAAAGTAACGAAGTAATAATACTTCGTTACAGTACTTAAGTATTTTTTGGGAGTATCTGTACTTTACTTGAGTTTTTATATTTCAGCCAACTTTTACTCCACTACATTTCCTAATTAAAATGTATACTTTTACTCCAATACATTTCCCAGAAGCATATTCGTTACTTACTACAAAATAGTCAGAAGTCAGAAGAACACGGACTGCAGGAAAGCAGGTTTGACGAATCAGTGGTCTGGCATTTGCAAGTTAGACTCATAAAAACACCTTTGCTCATGTGCAAACAAGCCCACGCACAACCGCGGATGATTTCATTATCCACTCAAGTCGATTCTGGGGTCTGCGATATACATTATATATTCTGCGATAATATGGTAAGTGTTGTGATGTGCACGCACGTGATTTATTAGTCTCTTAAAACTCAAAATTCAAGGCATTCTAAATTGTAGATGGCAAAAATGCTTCTGTATGCTTTTTAATGTTTATAGTAAAATGTAATTCCTATTCACAACCAATTTTCAACTTAGAAACTTAGGATTTTTTCCCTCTCCCAGAGGTTGTCAAGTGACATTAAGTAAAGACGTTTCCCATGAATTTAGCATCTGATATTATTTATTATAGCAAAAAACAGCGAGGTATAGATGATTTGTTAGTTCAACACTCATATTGTAGGTGGTATTTGGTTTGGCAATTGTGCAATTAGGCTTTACCTATCTGTGTTGCATTATGGTAATTGCTCTTTTTTACAACCCAAATAGTCGAGCATTCACTATTGCAGCAAACCTCCCAGAAATGAAAAAAAGGCCATAAAAGTTTTGGTGTTTTGGGTCAAGGTGCTGTTTATCACTGGGGATTTTAAACAGTGGATACACAGAGCTGTACACAGACCCTTAGAGAAGAAACAAATAGCACGCTACCTAACATGGGCAAGGGGGCAGTGCAGATGTGCTTGCATGCAGATGTTGTGAAAGAAGGGTTATACAAGGTAAAAATAGTGTTACATGTGCAAAGTTATAAAAGGTTTTGACTCGGATCCAAGTTTTATAAGCACTTTCTATCTAAGGATGTATCATTTTCTAGACAAGTTGAACCCTGTTTCTCAAAAACTCACATTCGTCTCTTTTATTTTGCTGTTTTATAAGCAAGATTAGGTCTGCTGGTGTGGAACAATTCTAATGAAAAACTTTCTCCAGAATAGCTGCTTTGTCCTGTTTAAGCAATCATGGAATTCTGTGGTCAGATATTTTTGTATAACGACACTAAAAACTTGCACTTGTCTCCTTGCAAAACATTCCTAGCTGTGCTAGTTTCATGTTTTCCGTAGCTCACTGATCTCTCATTTCGATTAAATAATAAAGCAATTTCCATTCAAATCAAAATGTCATGTCCATTTTAGGTAAGTACTCTACAAAATATCCTGTTAAATTTTGGTAAAAAAAAAAAATCACAGTAAAAAATACTACAACAAGATTTTTGGTATTACGTGATGCTTGTATGTTCAATTGTTTATTAGTTATGCAATAATTAATAATTTAATGGTTATTAGTTTTCACTTCCAAAATCATAAAATTAACAGTGCGTTGTTAAACCATTTATAATTTTTCACCAAATCGGTCTCAATTTGGAAAAATGTGTCTAAAAAAGGGACGACTTGCTTTTTATTAGGTGAGCACTGAAAAAAGCTACGGGTTAAAACATTTGCTCCCTGTGATGTTTTAAACCTTTTTCACTATGCGAGTTAATATTAAATAAATCTTTACATTTTAATTATTTTTACCTTATCTTGATGTTAGGAAATAAATCAATTCTATATCATGCTCCTGCGAGGCCACTAGACAAATATCATTAGGAAAATAGCAGCAGACCCTGCTTTAAGAGATGAGGGTGAACTGAATAAATAAATAAATAAGGAAGCTTGCTAACATTAGCACTGAGGACCCTGTTGCACAACTGACACTCTGACCCAATCCGTAATCCAGTTCTGGAATAAATAATGATATACAATTAGAATTATCTGCACTCTATAATTTGGTTTAATTTTATACAGTTTATTTCCTGTACCATATTGGTTTAATTTTACTCTTTGTTTGCCATGTGTTCTCCAGGCCACGAGGATAATCCAGATAGCCTCCGGCACAGATATAACTTCATTGCTGATGTGGTGGAGAAGATCGCTCCAGCTGTGGTTCACATTGAGCTGTTCCGCAAGTATGTATCCTGAATCACACACTCCATTAATCAGTAACCTCATGTCTCAGAGAGGACGTTTATCAGGACTATCTTTGACACTTATTGGTATCTATAGTTCCATGAAGAACATTTAACATCAGTGGAAACTTTCCATTGCACAAAAAGGTCTTTAAAAGGTTTTTTAGATGATTAAAATGTTCTTCACACAAGAAAATGAAAGGTTCCTTTAAGAACTGGTTCTTTGAAAGGTTCTTTGAGGAGCCGAAGATGGATCTTCTATGAGAGCTCTGCAAAAACACCCTTTTGGAACATTTATTTTTGAAAGTGAACTTAATCAATTTTTATTTTGTTCTCATACTCTTTCACTGCCATCTTTAAGAGGCAGCACCGGGCAAAAACAGATATTCCGTCTGGTTTTGTCTTTTATTAGCCCTCTATCATCAATATGAATAGAATTACTTCTTCCATGTATGCGAGATTGCATCCATATTGGCCCTAAAACATAATTCTTATCAGCTAATAATTTCTCTCTGATTTTTGGAGATGGTTGAGAGGTTGATCTATGATTAATTGACAAAGATGTTGTTCCAGGAACATGATCCTCATGGATAAATCATGCTGTTTGTTTAAGTGTCAAGCGCTTCGTAAAAATCATTTTTATGGCATGATCCATTAAGCTTTATCCTCATTGTAGAATAACATTGTTATAAAGTATCAAGTTTGATGTTTTTTCACTTGAATATAGATTGAATATCTATCACAATATCTTCATCATTGCATAAGACACAGTTTGTGGAATGTAGAAAACAGTCAACCTCAATTTTAGGCTGTTGAAATTGAGCACTGCGTTAAAAAAAAATCTGGAGAACAACCGTCATGTTTTCCACAAATCACTTGTCAGAGGAAGTTCCTCCTTCGTCTGAAATCTAGCTGGAAAATATAGTCAAATCAAGAATGTTGAGCAACCATCATTCTTTGCCGTTCCTCTGTGGAAAGTTGTCTTACGGTATTATGAAAAGGTTGCTCCTCAAGAAGTTCTTCACTTTTGTTTCTTAGAATGATGTTCACCAAGCGGGAAGTGGCGGTGGCCAGCGGCTCTGGTTTCGTGGTGTCTGAAGATGGCCTGATTGTAACCAATGCCCACGTGGTAGCCAACAAACACCGGGTGAAGGTGGAGCTTAAGTCCGGCGCCACCTATGAAGCCAAAATCAAAGACGTAGATGAGAAAGCAGACATCGCTCTCATCAAGATAGACGCTCCGGTAAGTACCTGTCCGTATAGTATGTCACACTCAGGTCTTTTGGATACCACATATAAACTAAGACTCAGTTTGTTCCAAAATCTAGTGAGAACCCTGCATAGGTAAGATTTTAGGGCATCATACTGTACCTTCTTTTATCCAAATTCTAGGGCAGCATTAGATGCATCCTTCATGGAGTAACCAAACTCATAATACATAGCAACCCAGATAGCACACGTACGTCTGCAAGATGTCTGTTAAAGGTCTCTTGATCTGGAAAGCATCTGCTGTCTACAAACATCTGACAGACGTCTTTCAGATGTCAGTTTTACATACATTCTAAATCATAAACATCTTAAAGACATCTAATAGACGTCTATTTGACATCTAAAAGGAAACGTCCTATAGACGTATTGCAGATGAGCAAACTCTCTAAAAAATATGTCTTGCAGATATAAATGCAGACGTCAAATAGACATCTCCGAGATGTACGTGTGCTATCAGGGATTGCCGTTCCTCTGTGGAAAGTTGTCTTACGGTATTATGAAAAGGTTGCTCCTCAAGAAGTTCTTCACTTTTGTTTCTTAGAATGATGTTCACCAAGCGGGAAGTGGCGGTGGCCAGCGGCTCTGGTTTCGTGGTGTCTGAAGATGGCCTGATTGTAACCAATGCCCACGTGGTAGCCAACAAACACCGGGTGAAGGTGGAGCTTAAGTCCGGCGCCACCTATGAAGCCAAAATCAAAGACGTAGATGAGAAAGCAGACATCGCTCTCATCAAGATAGACGCTCCGGTAAGTACCTGTCCGTATAGTATGTCACACTCAGGTCTTTTGGATACCACATATAAACTAAGACTCAGTTTGTTCCAAAATCTAGTGAGAACCCTGCATAGGTAAGATTTTAGGGCATCATACTGTACCTTCTTTTATCCAAATTCTAGGGCAGCATTAGATGCATCCTTCATGGAGTAACCAAACTCATAATACATAGCAACCCAGATAGCACACGTACGTCTGCAAGATGTCTGTTAAAGGTCTCTTGATCTGGAAAGCATCTGCTGTCTACAAACATCTGACAGACGTCTTTCAGATGTCAGTTTTACATACATTCTAAATCATAAACATCTTAAAGACATCTAATAGACGTCTATTTGACATCTAAAAGGAAACGTCCTATAGACGTATTGCAGATGAGCAAACTCTCTAAAAAATATGTCTTGCAGATATAAATGCAGACGTCAAATAGACATCTCCGAGATGTACGTGTGCTATCAGGGAACAAGCTCAGTGGAAAAATCCATCCAAGATGATGGATGAATCAAGAAAAATGTAAATTCAATAAATAACATTTAATACCAAAAATGTAGCTAAAAACAATCTATTACAAACAATTGACAGTTTTTCCCATTTTTTTTGTGTGCTATGAATTTAATGCTTATAAGAGTATCACATATTTAGCTTAGCAACATGCTAATGCCAAACTCCATTGAAATTAATTACTGTGCACTTTGTGAGGAGACTGTTTACATATTTATGATGTATTTACGAGTTGGGTGAATTCTGAATTGCTGATGTAACTTAAGTTTTTAACTCTACTTTGACAAAACGATGAAATAAGTATGTGCATCAGGTGTGTTTTATGCTTTTTAAATGTTTTTATTTAATTCATGAAGATACTGTGAATCGAATTGTTATATATTCTTCCATAATTGTACAATACTATCATATTTTGTACATGTGACTTAGGTAGTAAATAAAAAAAATCAATAATTTACAAATTTACAGTCAATACAAATGCTGCATCTATTGCGTCTGCCATATTTTCTCACTGACATGCCCTCAACTCAGAAACTCTGGGCTCAAAGAAAATTCTGAATTTTCCACTTGCAATCACGACTTTGTGTTTCTGTTCATGTGCATTCAACTCATGAATATGATATTTCTGACATGGCTTGAATGCACCATATTTTTGTGACATACTCAGATGAGCACTCAAGATCAGTCACTCAAGAGATTTTCATTTTCAGGAGCTTTCATTTTCAAGAGATTGATAACATGCCTAGTCTTGTTGAATTAGCATCTGAGATTGTTTCCATGATGTAAGGTCTTCAGCAATGAATTGCAAACAAAATGCATGCCTGACCCCAGAAGCTGCCCCATCATCAGAGTAATCTCATGACATTTTCCCCCCAGAGTAAGCATAGAAGCAGGCAGAAATATGCTTTTCTGAGGATAATGACCCTGTTTAAAAGGAAGGCACTTCTGTATCAGGAAGAGAGACAGAACCAAATAAGCCATGTTGAATTGCTCTACTAAACAAGCCTGGATCCACACCCAGGCAGAGTCAGAAAAAACATGAAGAGACAATTTTGATAAGGGTCTGATTGTTGCTCATATAACATTAAATTACACTCTTAATGTAAAAAATAGTGGAAAATTTAATTTTGCACAAAAAAGTTACACATACTGTTAAAGAATGGATGTTTCCAGTGCTTTCATAATTCATTTTAATTACACATATAATGAGTTGCATGTTTTATAGTTATAAAGTAATGAATCATAATGCTTATTTATGGTTATGCCTTCAAAAAATAGTGCATTACATATGAACGACACCAAATATTGTGTTGTATATCATGTTATAATGCAATAATGATAATGCTTTATAAAGCAGTATAGGTTTAACCTTGCATAGGTAAGTATGATAAAGTACAATAAACGTGTTAAAAATATTTGTAAAAAATATTTATGTAAAGCATTACAATTTAACTGTAAATCTTGAACAGTGTCTTTTTAAAAAATAAGGTGCAAAAGTCTATATTCTATCCAACAGAGTGACTATATTTACATTACACCACAGTCTCAAGTGCCTTAATGCTTTTATAAGGTGGTTTCTACATAAAAATATTACAGATGCAAATTTTCTTTGAACAATTGTGAAGTGTCATCCTTCCACTAGAACATATACAGTAACAGTTTCCTTTCTGAGTGCTGCATAGAGAGATACACAGTAGATGGTTTCATGTTGTACAGTAGGTGTAAATATGTCATGTATTTTAGTGCAGCTCGAATGCTGCACTGACCAATCTGCATCCAGGACCAAAACTACCAATTTCATAATCGACAGTATATACAAGCTTTATCTAAAATATGATCAAATATGTTCAAATTTTCATGGGCACATAATATCTTCAGGCAATAGTATAGTGGTTAAAAAAATAGCATATGTAGTTATATAATTCAGATTTATTTACCTAATATATATAGGCAGCACTGACCCAGAAACTTATGATCGCAAGTGGTGCAGGATTTACTTAACAATATGCATGGCAATACTGTTTGTTGGGGTTTGGTACCAGTTACAGGCTTTTGTGCTGGCAGACAGCAATGCCACGTCTCTGTAATTCCTCTCCTGCATAACTCCCCCTTCCTCTCTGGCTCAGGTTCGGCTTAGTCACTGCCGTACTGTGAATAATTTATATTGGGTAACTGCCTCATATTCTTTTCAGCTTGAGTTTCATGCCAGACTTTGTTTGATTGGTTCATGTCTCTGTCACCACTGAGAATTCCATCTCAGAATTCCTCTTCCTATTTAAAATGATATGACAGGACAGACATGGGAAATGTTCAGGCTGTTTCTAAATATGCTGCAGGGTTGTTACAGCAACCCTCTTGTTTTTCTGGTTATTTTTGGATGGAAGTCATTTTCAAACTCATTACGGATTATTTACGATGTCAAAAGGCTCTCAATGTATCCCCTCTCTAGAAAACCAAAGGGGCTGGGTTCACCCGCGGTTCGTTCGCTGCTGGGCCCGGTACGGCCGCACCAGTTGCACTGGCCTAAGGGCGGCCCTTTCTGCACTTATACAGAGATTTTCTTACTATTGGGAGATGAGAGGGTCTGTATTAATTACCATTGGAAAAAGCATAACAGCTAACTTGGATCACATGAGACACCATAGCCAATTATACAATGGCCTCTGGTCTCCTTCCTTACGTACCGCCAATACATATCTATGGCCGCAGCATTAGCCGTTACGCTTTTTTTGCCTAAAGGTTGCAGGCTTGCCTTCCAGTGGCTTTGGTTTACACCTGTTCTTTCTCAGGGTTGCTCAATGTGCTTTTCGATCTAATCTGATTCTTATTTTCTTATTCCCACTAAATTAGCCAATTCCTCAAACCAGAGAGAACATTGCAGCCTAAATCAACATCATTTCACATCCCAAAAACAGCTTGAGGAACTTGTTGACCTTGTTTTAGACAGCTTGTTGGATGTGGCGCTTTTCCACTGCGTGGTACGACTCAGCTCGGTACGCCTTTCCACTGCAGTTCAGTACCGCTTCAGAGTGGGCGGGATTATTCACATGTCGTTATAGTTGTGCCTCCTCTATTGCCGCGACTCCTGAAAAACATTTTCATTCCGCATTGCCCCATCAAGCTCTCGCTGGATCCGCTCCTCTGCTATCAACGAGAGGAACGTCTGTACTTCCTCAACAGACAACGAAACAGCCACTTTTTGGTTGTTAAAAAAGGTGAGCTTGTTCA